TTGCTTGCTTACTTGCTCGCTAGCTAAGCTAAGGCTAGTTTACTTACTTACTTACTTACTTATTGTTAGTTACTGAGTTACTTGGTTACCAAGTTATAAAACTCATTTGCCAATGGCACCTATAATGCGCGCACGTTGCCGCGAATAAATGCGCGCGCGCGCACCCGTTTATGTTCAACACGAGGTGTATACTAAAGTTTATCGATTCAACCTTAATTTCGATCATTTTAGCGATGTTGTTATCTGACGAAGATAATCAAAACGAAGATATGCATCGTGTCGTACACTTATTCAAAGTTGGTTCTTTCCATTCCGGAACATTTCACGTTAATAATCGATTCGGTGTACGTTAGATCAAGTGTACTACTGTTCATTATCAGTGACACTGTGCTGTGACTTTATTGGATCTCATTTCATTTCATCGTTTAATAAAATACACTCTTGTGCAAGTTTGAACAAAAAATAATTGAAAGTGCCAATTGTTCAGAAGGAACGTTTGGAAGATTTGGGATACTATTATTATAACATGGGTATGTTTTTAATCGTCCTAATAATATATCACTATTATTTGTTGATAACGTTAATCTGTTTTCATTAGTTCTGATTCATTTAATATCAAAACTTCTTGATTTAATTAAAACTTTATTCGATATCATCGTTTCACTCATTTTTGATTTAGGTAAATAAGGGGGTAGGAACTATAAATAATCTTTGAACAATAATCAGATACAGGTAGTTGATAGTCTGATTGTAATTTTGAAAAGTATTTCGGTTAACATGTCGTCAATTATTCTGATAAAAAGAAAGAGAAAGAAATAAGAGTAGCGCGGGAAGGTGCGAAAGGTGGTCGCCCTCTGACCCGTCCGAGGGAAGAGAATATACGGTTTAAGAGATCGATGCACCCGTGTTCTACCTCTCGCGACCTCACATCCACCTAGAACCGAAGGGTTCACCGGGGGTTGCTGCCCTCGTCCGGGCAGAGCGCGCGACCGCGTAACTTGGATTTTCGACTCTTCGAAGAAGAGTCCATTCTAGTTTAAACCTTTACCACCATCAGTACAGATTAATCCCAAGAACTTAATCCAAATTACCATTACTTTGCATAGTTATTATACCAATTTAAATCACACAATTGACTTAACAATGATTTCTTCGGTTTTAACCAGAATAATCTAAAATTAACAATGATGTTATTTAAAATCATGATATAAATTGTTGGAAACTATACCATTTTTAATTTCAATTCTAAGTACTGAAAAATAATAAAGGGTGTCAGTTAAATTAATCATCAAATGAAATGAACAATAGGTTATCAGTTAATATTCTTGAAAATAGTTTTAGAAATTGTTTAGAGTTAGGAATAAGGTAGTTTGGTTCATTGACTTGCCGGGAAGCGCGAAGATGCAACGGTAAATCGTTCCTCTCGTACTTCGTCGTCATCGTCATCGTTGCGTTGTCGTCGTTGTGTCGTTGTCGTGTCGTCGTCTTCGGCATCGAAGTTGAAGTTAGGCTAGGTCGCGTTCCTGACGTCACCAAAGAATGGTGGAGTCACACGCTACTCGTCAGAAACGGAATGTACGTATATACGGGCGTGTGCTGCATGGTTGTAGGGTATGCCATTTTCATCGTTGTTGTTGTTGCTGTTGCTGATACTCCAGAGCTTTAAAAGCTTGCCAGAGAAGAAGAGCGCTTGCGCTTCTTGCGAGTTCAACACAACGACGACGACGACGACGACGACGACGACAACGTCTACGCGCCGATAGTTACGTAAGAGGGGTCATTGACCGATAGCTTTGCCGGGAAATCCACCCGCCATGACCTACCTTCTTCCTCTTCGTCATCATGCTAACTCATCATCTTTCTCTTATTCCTTTTAAACTTTCTTGCGTTGATGTTAGAAGAAAAAACGAAATCAGGACAATATTAATCATTTAACAATTTTAAATAACTTTTTGAAACAATAATACTTAAATACGAGTAGGATTAAATTAGATTTTCAATTAGTCAGGTGTTTTAGATCAAACTTTGCTAAATCTAGGATAATACAAATTTCAAAACCGTAAGATTTATTCATCCAGTTTAAATAATCCATTGGAAACAAAGTTAATGTAATCGTTTAAGGGTTGGGTAGTTATTTTGAAGGAATAATTTCTATATTTGGATAAGACAATACTTTGACCAGAATTGGTATGAAATCAAAGTTATTAAGAGGGCTCGAGAGGGTTGCTGTTGCGAGTAGTAGCGCGAGCTAGCTAGCTAGCTAGCTACCGAGAGAACGAGAAGAGGTGGTGGTGATGGTGAAGGGTGGTTGGGGGAGGAGGAGAAGGTGGAGGAAAAGGAGGTGGGGAAAGAACCCGTTAGTAGAGCGTTTGGAAGGCGCGCGCAAACCTCCGTGCTCGTTGCTGCGAGAAAAGGAAGACAAATATCGTAGATCGCGAATATGTGTGTGTGAAAGCGAGAAAGAGAAAGAACGAGAGAGAGAAAGAGAGAGAGAGAGGTACGAACGAACAAGCGAACGAACGAGCAAACGAGCAAGCAAGCGAACGAACGAACGAGCGAGCAAGCAAGCAAGCAAAGGGGGACTCTCACTTTCACGCGGTGAACTGCGGGTGAACGTCCGGGAATTGGGTCAGAGGACCCCCACCCCGTCGCGCCAGAGGCAATGTGCCGAGGCTCTATGCTCTCTGTGCTAGAAAGAGCCAGTCTACAGCCAAGCCTCGATACAAACGGTCGCTGCTTCGTTTTTCTTCCGCCGAAATATCATTTTCCTCTCGTTTTTTATTATCTTTGTGAAAACGGGTTACGCGAAATATATTATTATTCGTAACACCTAATGAGAAGATCTCGTGAAAACCAGAGAAAGGGAGAGACCATTTTTTGATTTTGCCATTCGATGTGTTCCAACAACGAAACATTAGGAATTTTGTATTTAGTGTGATTGATCATCGTGAGCTTGAGTAACAAAATAGAATTCCAACAACCAAATCCAACCCTCTACTACCCCTTCTGTACGACGGGTTTATATTAAACAGAAGAAGTAGATTAAGTAATTTCGGGGTGAATTAATGGGGTGCCTGTGCGAGTGCGATCTGACCACCCCGCGCTCGGGGACTGATTGTTCCTCGGGGTCCTCCTCGGACAGCGACGGTCAAACTGACGAAGGTTTCGTTGGTGATTCGCAGGGCTTCTTTCGCCGTAGCATCCAGCAGAAGATTCAGTATCGACCCTGTACCAAGAATCAACAGTGCAGCATCCTGAGGATCAACAGGAATCGCTGCCAATATTGTCGTTTGAAGAAGTGCATCGCTGTCGGCATGAGTCGCGATGGTAAGTAATCATATTTTCTTTTCCTATTTTTCCTATAAAAACCAACAAAAATTCTGTTCCAATGCGATCGATCATAAATAACATGTTGCAAATGAATTCCCAATAAACGTAATGAAATGTTGTTCCTTCGTAGGATAAATTTGTCAATTCCATTCGATTCGTCGAGTAGAGAAAAGAATTTATTGCGAAAATGATAGGTGGGAAGGAGAAAGAATAATTTCGCGATAGATTTCGTTTCTCGAACGGTAGGAGCTCTCCTACCTTTTAAAATTTAGATTGCCAGGTCATTGACCGTTTGCGTAACGCTTGTTCCCCGTCATACGGCGCAAGGGTGTCGCAACGGGCGAAAGTGGCCGCTGCTTCGCTGTTCGAGAAAGCAGCGCCAGCACGATTATCCCCGCGATTGGTGTAACGAGTTCGCTTTCTTTTTGAAATACTTGTGAAAGCTTCGTCGGGTCCGTGCCTTCTTTTTTTGTCTTTCTCATCTTTGTTTTATTTTTTTTTTTTTTTATTATTAATATTATCACTCCCTTTCTTTCATCCTTATTTAAACGATCGATAGTTGAAGAAGAAATTACTACTACTGCTAAGCTAGCTAACTAAGAGCCGCGATACTATAAAGGAGTACGAGGTCGTTGACCCTTAGTTCAGATTCGAGCCAATTTAGATTAAGACCTCTTAGGTGGTGTTAGAAAATAGATCATCCACGTCTTCAAATAGAAATAACTCAGAGACAGAAATATTTGAGATCATTGAACGTTCTAAATTATCCTCCTCTCATAGTTATACTAATAATAATTATTATCTAATATCACGGATAAACAAAATTTTAAGAATACAAAAAATAAATAATGTTTAAATTGAAAAATAGTTTAAAATCGGTTGTTGTTACTTAATAAACAAAAGTTGAATAAGAGGGAACGTAGAAAAGGCGCAAAGCTCTCCTTCACCTCCTCCTCCTCCTCCTCCTCATCGTTATTCTCCTCCTTCTCTCACGGGGTCAATAATCTCTCGCGTAGCTGAGCTGTGTGTTCCTCGCGGCTAAGTCGAGTTTGTAGAAAGAGAGTACCGCTACGTGCCGCTACATCCCCGGTGACCCTCGGCGTGCAACATATATTCCCCCACTACGAAAATTTCTAACGCTATCTCTTCCGTCGCACGAACGGAGACTGCTGACTTCTTCCCCACCATTCTTCTCTTCTCACCTCCCACCATTCGTTCTTTACGCGCCGACGAGCGCAGCGAGAGTGCGCGTGTTCCCCTGAACGCCGTCGTCCTAGTCATTGGCGTCGTCGTAGTCGTGCTGGCGCTAAACCTCATGCGGAGACCTCGCGAACTATCAGGGAATCCCACCCGCGGTATTCGGGTATTTCTTCCCCTACTACTACTACTATACACTACTACTACTTACTACTACTACCCCTCCTCCTCTTCCTTGAGGACTCACCTGCCGGCTGCGGCAGTGGCGCATGCTCGTGACAGTGGCCGGAGGCTCATTCCGCGGGCGGACTTCGATGCAGCTGCATCATTTTTTCATTCTTTTTCTTTTACAAAATATGATTAATTACTTATACTTTTTTATTTAATAAACTATTTCTTTTATTACATCTTCTAAACAGATGATTATTAACAATTAATTAGATAAATAATATCATTCAATTGCACCAAATGTCTCTTTTGTCAGGGTTTCGTTCATTTGATCCTTTGGTATGTTTAATTTAAAAATAAAATAAAAAAAGATATAAATTCTTCCAACTCATCGGTTCTACTTATAGAACATTGTTTTTCCCTCTCTCCCTCTCTTTCTATCTATGATATTGTGTTTTCTTTTTATCTCTCGGTTTTCTCCCTCTCTTCGTGCGATATATCAATTCGTGCGAAGTCTATCCTTAGTTCGAGGACATCTTTCTCTGTCTCTTTCTCTTTCTCCCTCTGGTTAGTCGAAGTTACTCTAGGCGCAGGCGTTCGACTCCCGTCCCGTCCCGTCCTTCTCTGATGTTGACCGCTACGCTCGGTTAGTACGTATCGCATCAGTTATATAGGCTATATAGGTCGGCGGTACGCCTCGCGCGGCTGTCGCTGAAAGCAAGTTCAAGGCCAAAGGCTCGGCAAAGGCCACAATCGCGTCGGCGGTGTGCCGTGGCGATGGTGGCGGTGACGACGGTAGTAGTGGTGGAGGAGGACGACGAGGTGGAGGATGAGGACGAGGAGGAGGTGAAGTGAGGTGAGGTGGTGTTGGTGGTCGTGGTGGTGGGGCGTCTTTGATGGCTGAATAAGTGGAGGGGCTGTTGAACGCAAGTCGTGGAACATCACTCAGTCGGCGGTGATGCTGTCTCGCGTTTGCACGCGTCGTTCCGTCCCGCACGCGGGATCTTTGAAGTGATCATCACATCACATTATCCACGCATTACGTTAAAAGAAAGGAGGAGTCGGTTCGACGTATTTTGAAAAACGGCGTGCACCGTCCCGCCACAAACCTAACACACGGATATTTTTTATTATCAATTTTTTCTCTTCGTTTTCTTTTTGTCTTCTTTTTGTCTTCTTTTTGTAAATCTTATTCGTTACATTTCTTGGTGGTTTCTTTTTCGCGGGAGTGACTTGTCATAATTCGCGAGTCAGCCTACTAAGGATAATTGTGATCAAGGATTTGGATTTAAACGTTGGTGAAGATCACACATAAACAAATCGGTCGACGAACCGAAACTATACTACTGTACACCACCACCACCATTATCACCACTACCCCATTTTCTTCGTTCGACGTTATTGGATATTTTTTTTTTATGTACTTTGTGCGTCGCAAGAAGAAGTGTCCATCGTTATCGGAGATTATTAAGCAACGGAATTGGATTTTATTAACCACATAGAAGATCAAGGACAACGTTGCGGTTCTTCTTCCTTTTTTTTTTTCCTACACGCGTTTCCCTTTGACCGTCATGGGAGACGAGTTACCTATTCTCAAAGGAATCCTCAATGGAGTGGTCGATTATCATAATGCACGTAGGTTTCCCCGATAGATCTCTTTCTCTTTCCTTAATTCCCTCTATTTTTTTCTTCTTTTTTTTTTTTTTTTTTTGATTTATTTAATACTCTCGTATATTTCGTCAAAAATTCAAACATCGAGGTCGGTTTACTTTCTAACCGAAGATTCGTACCGCGTGTGCTAACTTTCGTCTCGTTCGGTGCGAGAAAGTCGTGCGCTTTCACCCTTCGAAGCATGTCTCTTTTCTTTTTTATTATTATTTTTTTCTTTATTTTTTTATTATTTATTCTTCCTCTTATATTATTTTTCCTCTCTTTTTTTTTTTCCTTCCGGAAGAAACCAACGAGGAGAAACGACGACGACGACGTATCTCTCAACCGATTAAGCCGGTGGCGTCACACACGCGACGTACACCCGATATATATGTTTCATCGTCAAGGAAGGTCAACCGCGTGAATCATTCGATCGATCGATCGCATTGACAGTGCTTATTAATACAATTTTTTTTCTCCCTTCCTTCTCTTTCTATCCTACTTTTAATTTTTCATATATTTCAACCCTTAAGAAAAATTGAATCATCTCGATCGTGTTTTTTTTTTGTTTGAATTACAGCGGTGCGATTCGGCCGCGTGCCCAAACGTGAGAAGGCCAGGATTTTGGCTGCCATGCAGCAGAGTTCCCACAGTCGTTCTCAGGAAAAGGCAGTAGCGGCTGAACTGGAGGACGAACAACGTTTACTCGCCACCGTTGTCCGAGCTCACCTCGACACATGCGATTTTACCAGGGACAAGGTCACGCCTGTTCTTGCGAGAGCTCGTGAAACACCTAACTACACGGCCTGCCCACCGACCTTGGTAAGAATACTTTTAACTACACTCTAATAACCAAGCAGCAGCAGAAGTAGCACCCAACCACCACCACCACCATCATCATCATCACCTAGTTACTTACTAACTTGATCCACGGATTTCAAACTAAATATCATACCACCTCTCTTCTTACACATTAAATTTAATCGATTCTTTTTCCCCTTCCTCCATTACTTCGGTCAACACCACACAAACACCTTACACAGTTTCCTTGATCGAATCTATGCGGAAATCGGACCGGTCGTCCTCGAAACTCTTGCAAATGAGCAAGAGGTGGAGAAGGAGGAAACGTTAACATTGTAAACGTGAATTGTATACTGTGTTGCTGTTACTACTCGTTAAGGACGACCAGTCTCTCTCTTTTTCTCCCGATAATTTGCTTTCACACATTCATACGCTAAAGAGACTATCTTCTATTACTACTACCACTACACACTACTGTCTGTCTATCTGTCCCCTTCTAACCTCGCACGTTTTCTTTGACTTTCTGTCAACAGGCATGTCCGTTGAATCCAAATCCACAACCATTGACTGGTCAACAAGAATTACTTCAGGATTTCTCCAAGAGGTTTTCCCCGGCAATTCGTGGCGTAGTAGAATTCGCTAAACGCATTCCTGGATTCGGCCTGCTGATACAGGATGACCAAGTCACATTGTTAAAGGCCGGAGTATTCGAAGTTTTGCTCGTTAGGCTGGCCTGCATGTTCGATGCTCAAACGAATAGCATGATATGCTTGAACGGACAAGTGTTGAAACGCGAGTCTATTCACAACAGCAGTAACGCGAGATTCCTGATGGATTCGATGTTCGATTTTGCCGAAAGGGTCAATTCCTTGCGATTGTCAGACGCCGAGCTTGGACTTTTCTGTTCGGTTGTTGTCATCGCAGCGGACAGGCCGGGATTACGCAATACCGAATTGGTAGAACGTATGCACAACAAATTACGCAACGCTCTTCAAACGGTACTAGCTCAAAGTCATCCACAACATCCAGATATTTTGAGGGAATTGTTAAAGAAGATACCAGATTTGAGAACGTTGAACACGTTGCATTCGGAGAAATTACTCGCGTTTAAAATGACCGAACAACAGCAACAACTTCAAGCGCAACAGCAACAACAGACGCAACACGTTATATCAGCGAGCCAACAGCAACAGCAACAACAACAGACGCAGACGGGGCAACAACAATCTCAACAACAATCGCAGCAACAACATTGGGCGATGGAAGAGGAAACTCCGGCATCCTGGGGCTCGGCCTCGGACGTTACCCTCGATGAGGCGGTCAAAAGTCCATTGGGTAGCGTTTCGAGTACGGAGAGCACGTGTAGCGGTGAAGTAGCATCTCTGACGGAATATCATCATGTTGCGGCAACCCCGAGTGGTCATCACGCGTCCAGTGCACCACTTCTCGCAGCAACTTTGGCTGGTGGTTTATGTCCGCACCGTAGACGAGCAAATTCCGGTAGCACGAGTTCAGGCGAGGACGAACTTCATCGTGGCAGTTTGAGCAAGACACCTCAACCACCTCATTGTCCACGTTTTCGCAAATTAGATTCGCCCAGTGACAGCGGCATCGAGTCGGGTACAGAAAAAGCTGACAAACCAGCGAGTAGCAGTGCCAGTAGCGCACCCACCTCTGTCTGTTCGAGTCCACGTTCCGAGGACAAGGAAGTCGAAGACATGCCTGTACTGAAACGTGTCCTTCAAGCACCACCACTTTACGACACGAACTCGTTGATGGACGAGGCGTACAAACCGCACAAAAAATTCCGTGCATTACGACAAAAGGATAGTGCCGAAGCTGAGCCAGCTGTGGTAGTACAACACGCCCAATCCCAATTACATTTACACCTTACCTCGCAACCAGCGCGAAGTCCATCATCGAATCAAACGACGAATAATAATCCAACCACGTGTCCGCAAACAGCGAGCTTACTTAGTAGCACGCACTCGACATTGGCGAGAAGTTTGATGGAGGGTCCTAGGATGACGGCGGAACAACTCAAACGTACGGACATTATACATAACTATATAATGCGTGGAGAAGCTAGTCCGAGGTCACCACCCGCGGTCTCGCCATCGCCGGCGGAACAATGTGCATCGACTACTACCATAACGGCGCGTTCCTCTTCACAATTATCTCCGGGTTTGCTACAGTGTGCCTCGTCGAGTTATTCCAGCAGCTCATCCTCGAGATGGCCTGCCACCTCAGTTATTACCACGACCACTGGTGCTCGGCAACAACAACAACAACAACAACAACAACAACAACAACAACAACATCAGCAACATCAGCAACATCAACAACATCAGCACCAGCACCATCAACAACAACAGTCTTCCTCGGATTACCTCGTAGTCGGGAATTCCCCGGCATCTTCACCAAGATACCTCTCGGCGGCAGCGTCGAGTAGTACGAGTACGAGTCCGAGGCCAACATCAAGTACAGCAACGGCAGCAGCAGCAGCGACCCTTGTCCTATCTGGTTGTCCAAGTAACATGATGGAACTCCAAGTGGACATTGCAGACAGTCAACAACCTTTGAACCTCTCGAAAAAGTCACCGTCCCCATCGCCAAGGCCATTAGTTGGTCCCTGCAAGGCTCTATCCCTCGAAGCGTAGTGTGGTGCTCTTGCCGTCAGATGGACACATCATCTCTTATCTTTTTTTTTTTTTTTTTATTACTTTTTTGTTCTTTTTTCTTTTTTGGTGACTCGAAAAATCATGTGTGTGCGTGTGTACTCTCTATTGCTACTATTAATTATTACAATACTACTACTACTACTACCTATTACTACTATTAATTATTACTATTACACTATTATTATTATTGATACTACCTATTACTATTACTATTATAAATTATTACTACCTACTATTACTACTATTACCCACCTTGCGCAAAGAGTGTCGTTACGTACATGTTTTATGTATTTTTAAAAAAAACCCCGTCCACATGAGACGGCAACACTGACGAAGGATCGTCGCAAGTATCCAGAGATATATATATATATATATACATATATATATATATATATATCTATATGATGAAAAAATTCAATTTTTAAAAAGGTACGAATGAAAAAGAGCATTTTTAAAAGATAAAAAAAAAGATGAAGAAGAAGAAGTGGTGTGAGGGAGACGATGGGAAAATAATTAAGGAGGAGGAGAAGGAGGGAATGACAAAGTGCCAGGACACTCCGAGCGCGTGACAAACCAAATAATTTATTAATTTAAATCTATTTTATCGATGTGTGTACGCGTGTGTGTGTGTGTGTGTGTGGGCGCGCGCGGTAATAAAATCCGCGTCAAAAATCAAGGACAAAACGGCGGATTTTTTTGCGGAGGATGAGTTTTGGAGAAGTAAAAGAAGAAGAAGAAACATCTTCCTGAAATATTAAATAAAAAAAAAAAAACACAAAAATATAAAAAAAAAAAAAAAGATATCAGGAAATGTGAATAGTTGCGAAAGGATTTTTAAAAGAAGATTAAAGTTTGAGGGAAAAAAGGAGAAAGGGAGAAGAGGATGAAACAATAAAAAAAACTGTGACGATAAGTTGATGTATATTTTCTTCTTTTCGGTGTGTGCGTTGATACGTGATATTGTTGCTAATAAATAATTAAAAAAAAAACACTCCTACAGGAGGAGGAGGAGGAGGAGGAAAGACATTTGATATGGACGCGTGTGAGTGCACGCAAAATCTGTTTTTCTAAACTGTGCGCGTTGTAAATGCAATTTGAACAAATTTCATGAACAACCTGAAACAAATAATCATATTAATAACAATAATAATAATAATAATAAAAAATAAAAATAAATCATTCAAACACGATCGTGTTAAATTTCTCGTAATCAACAAACACCCCGTAAAGAAAAAAAATTAGCTGAGTGAGAGAGAGAGAGAGAGAGAGAGGAATCGAATGAATGTGTGTGTGTGTGTTTTTTTTGTAATGGGGAAGGATTGAAAAAAAAAAAAGAAAAAAAAAGTAATACTGGATTTAAAAGATAAAAGATTAGTAAAAAAAAAAAAAAAGAAATTGATGAAAGATGGAAAGAGGGGGGGAAAATATGAATTAATCTATTACATGTGATAATCATGGAAATCGCGCATCCTGTACAGTCTCCACTTCATTCATATTGATCATCTTACTCTATAATTATAATTATTGAATATTATTAAAAAAACAAATAAAAATAAAGACGAAGAAGAAGAAGGAGAAATGTGAAGAATAATAAAAAAAAAAAAAGATACAACAAACAACAACAACAACAACAAGTAATTAAATAATTAATTAATTATTATTGTAATATCTCTCTCTGTAAGGTATACATATATATATATATAAATATATAAATATATAAATATAATAATAATAATAATAACAATAATTATAATAGTAATAATAATAATAATTATAATAATATTAATAATAATTATAATTATAATAATAATAATAATAATAATTATAATAATAATAATTATAATAAATAATAATCGTAATTATAAAGGAAATAAAAGTTATCATCTCGTACGTGTATGTGTGAAGTTTATTAGTTAGTTAGAAGTGTGTGCATTTTATGTCTGCTCTGAGAGTTGTATGCGTCCTATGTGTGAGAGAAAGAGAGAGAGAGAGAGAGAGAGTGAGAACGTGTTTATGGGGGCAATCGAAGTTTCTTCTGATCCAGAAAATAAAACTGAAAATATAAAATAGTGATAGACAGATACAAAGAAAGAAAAAGAAATGGGAATGAGATATAGAGTAAAAAAAAAAAAAAATGATATAGAATGGATAAAAGAAACAAAAAAAAAAAACAAAAAACAAAAGATAGGAAAAATAGGGAAAGATAATAAAATTTTGTGGAAGAAATTTTTATTCTTCCTTGTGTTAATTCAAATTTTGCTGAAATTCGAATTTTTCAAAAAAAAAAAAAAAAAAGAAAAAATCAACAAATAGAAAAACAGTTATAATGCAGAATAGAGAAAGAGAGAGAGAGAAAGAGAAAGAGAAAGAGAGAAGAAAGAAAAGTAAAATGAAAGAAAGAATTTAACAACAAATTGATTTTGTTATTTATGAGACTGACCGGTGTTCCTTTTTTGAAAGGGGGCGCCACCAGTTTTGCAATTACCGTACCTTTATACGAAAACGCGTCGTTTGTTCTCCCCCTCCACCCCTAACCTCTCATACGAAAGATAAATTAATAGAAAATAGAAAGAAAAAAAAAGAAATAATTTTTGGATTTGGATAAAATGAAAAAAAAGAAAATTCTCGGAGGAGGAGGGAGGGGGGTGGAGGACGAGATCGACAGTGCTCTTACGTTTTGTTAATTAATTATATAATTATTCTGATTTTATAAATTAAACGAAAAAAAAAAAAAAATTCCACGATTAATTACTTCTTCGTCATTTATTAGCGTTGATGAAAACATAGAATTATTATTATTATTATTATCAATTAACAATTTAATGGCGTAATAATATTTCGCGAGCGCGGTTTAATTTAAAAAAAAAAAATAGAAAAAAAACAAACAAACAGCAACCAATAATCAATAAACAAAAATGATGAATAGAGAAGAGAAAAAAAAAAGAAAGAAATAAAACGGACATACACATACATACATCATACATATATTACAGTTAATACACGCGTATAATACACATACACAAACATAACAAACATACACATACATGCAAAATAATATTACGTGTCATTTCGTGTGAGATTATTGAGAATCATCGAGAACAGAATAAAAAGAATGTGTTAGTGTATAAAAAAAAAAAAGAATATTAGGATTCCGTATATATACATTCGTGCGTGAGTGTGTGTGCGTGTGTGCGTGCGTGCGTGTGAAAAGTATGCATGCTTAAGGGGTATAGTTTTTTTTTTAATTCAAAAAAAGGATTTAAAGAAAATGTAAAGTAAAAAGTAGGAACCGACAAACGTGGGGTAAAAATGGACGAGTAAACGATGAGGAAGGGGGGTTGAAACGAAATCACTCCCACCCTTTTTGCGAAGAGGGTGGTCTTTTCTTCGGCTTTTTTTTGTCCTTTTTTTTCGATGGGGTAGGTATGAGGGACGTAAAAATGCATAGAAGGATACAAATATGACGCGTTGTATGACAGAACAAAAAAAAAAGGGAAAAGGAAAGAGGTTGATTAGGTAAAGTGGCTCCGAGATAGTTTAAACAAAAAAATGTATTGTAAATATTAGAAATGTAAGGCTGACGATGAAGATGAAGAAAAGATAGTCGTCCTGTATTATAATTTGGCGCGAAAGATTGATAATAATAATGATTTTCGTTGCTTATGAAAACGGTTGATGTGATTTTGATTTTGATTCTGTTTGATGCATGGTTGCGTGAAGAGAAAAATAAGAAGAAAAAGAAAAAAAAAAAATGAGAAAAACCAAGAAGAGAAATGAAGAAGAAATGGCTAATGAATGAAGGACACATATATAACTAAATTTTTGATAGAATTTATAAACATAATTTGGGGATACGTGTGTGTGTGTGTTTTGTTGTCACACACATCTTCCCATTTCAAAAACCTGTTCCAACACTCACAGATTTTTTTCTTTTTATTTTTTTTTTTTTTTTTGAGAAAATAAAATCTCTTTTTTTTTTTAAATATTCAAGAGCGAACACATACGAAACACAGACAAACACAAACATTATATAAATAACACATTATACGCATTAACACACATATAAAACACATATATATATATTAATGGAAATGAAAAGAAATGAATGGATCATCAATGGGAAATAAAATCATAAATGACCAATGATATTTCACGTAATACAAAATATATTTAAACATATATATACGGAACATACATACAGAGAACACATACATATATAAGACGCGGTTTACACGAAAGATTTGAATTTACACGCACGCTCGCAAATATACGCGCTTGATTCATGATGACCAAAAATTACCAACAACAACAACAACAACAACAAAAACAGTAAAAGAAAGGAAAAAAAAAATATATATAGATATATATAGTACGTAAAATGGGATAACGAAATGTTGAAATAGTAACAAGGGGAAAAAAGATAGAAAAAAAAAAAAAAACAAGAAAAGAACAAAAAAAAAAGGAGAAAGAAAGAAATTGCAGGGGAAACAAATTCTCAATTTGACATATGCAAGAGAGAGAGAGAGAGAGAGAAAGAAAGAGAGAGAGAGAGAGAGAGAAGGACACACCTTGTGTTTTTTTTTCTTTTCATTGTGCTTGCAAATTTTTTCCCAATCTTATTTTATTTTTCGTTTCTTTTTCTAGTTTTTTTTTTTTTTTTTCATATTTTTCATATTTTTCATTATAGTTTGTCGAGTATTAGCATAATTCATATATCACGTTAAATTATACGAAAGAAAATACTTACATACGTGCGCGAGCATACACATATACACACACACACACGATTGAAAAATTTATTTCTTTTTTTTTTTCTTCTATTCCGTGATTTGTTTAAAACAAAACAAAAAAACAAAAAGAAAGAAAACCTTGCGTGTGATATTTATTGTATTCCAGTAACGAATTATTCCAAAATATTCTATTCCAACCCCCTCAGCCCTCCTCCGCCCCCTGTCACCTACTCTAAAAACAAATCAATAAGAAGAAACTTTTAATCAACACCTACCCCCTTGACTTTTTTCATCTATCAAACAAACAAATAAAAAAAAAWAATAATTGTTCATTGTGTTGAATTTTGTGTTAGAAA